GCCAATTAAGGTTCTTATATAGGTTGTTATTATTAACGTTGTTGTCGTTTATAGCAGGTGTTTCGACGTGTTTATTCGTATTAACTTCGGCGCGCATAGAATTAACCTTATAGGGAGGTTTCTTTCGATTTACGCGTGCGATAACTTCCTACTATACGTTCTAAAGGTTCTAATTTATTACTAGGTGCAATATTATATAGAAATAGTATAGTATTAAACGCGTTAATATAAGTTAGGATGAAAATTAGGGTTAGGAGACTGCTTAGTAAGCACTTCTGCTAGGTGGGCTCTCTATAGGATACTTTATCTACGCTCCGTAAATAGGAATTAATTAAACTAATTAAATTAATTAATTTAATGCCTTAAAGTTGATTTAATTAATAAAATCCACCTTTTCGGATTAATTAATTAATTTGGTTAAACTAAATCAAATCAATTAATCTATTAACTTAAGTTAATTATTTCCTACTCTATATCCGGCTTCTAGTACTTAATCGGTCTATTAATACTCTACCCGCCCTTTTATCTACTTAAGTACTCTCCTAGTGCATATAATAGCTCTCCGAATTACTATTTATACTGCTATTATAGCTTTACTTTTTACTGCCTCTATCGCCTGCATAAAAAGAAAAAGTATACTATTAATTCTATACACCTGCAATCGCACGCCGCTGTATCTATTACCTTAATTTTATATAGATACTTATTAAAAAACGTTTTACCTGTCCGCAGCTGCGTAAGAATAGCCGCTTCGGTGCTATTTAGCTGCCGGTATATTTCTACTAACTTGCCTAGGTAGAACGCTGCATCTATTTTCCGCGTAAACTTTCCCGTTTCTGCCTACTTTAGTAGGGGCGGTCCTGCTATTATATTAGCTCTTTTTAATACTAGCCGTGTTAAATACTATAGTTTACTATTGCGCTGCAGTAGCTACTTGCTTTCTTCTTTTATTACTGCCTTTGCTAGTCTATTAGCCTGCTTATTTCCTTTAATCCCCGTATATCCTAGGATCTAATATAGCGTAATATTAGTTATCTATAGTTTCTTAATAATCTCTGCTACAACACCTTAACACGTACTGGCTCGCTAACTGCGCACTAATAGCAGCGCCGACTGCGCGTTAGAAAAGATGCGGATACTTAACGCTAGTATAGGCTGGCCGTTGCTATTAAGCGCTATATAAAATAGGCCCTATAGCTAGTTAGCGGCTTTACTAATTACTAATAGTTTAGTAAAGTGCGCGTCCGCCTGCTTAAACCTAGCTACTGTTTTTAAAATATATACTTATAATAGCCTGGTAAATACCCTAATACCTGCCTTGCTGTTTTGTACTAATATATCTATATATACGTCTACTTATCCTAGCTAGTAGTTCTTAGTAATAGCTTACGCCCGCTTTTTATTCTTATATATTACTATTTTAGGCCGAGCTACCTATAGCGGGTATATATACGGCTTAACTTCTAGTACTATATCTATCCGAACTTCTATATATATTTCTGCTACCCTTATAAATAGTAATTAATACTTTATATATAGTTATTATTGCTTAAGTATTTAGTAGGAATATAACAGGCCTAGCTTATAAATTAATACCTAGAACGCGATTATCTACTTCCGCAGTTTTTATTCTATAGGAAGTAGACCTGCCTTTACCTCTACTACTAATAAAGTAATAGTACGGAATCCTTTAATTACTGCCTGCGCTATAATCCTTTATAACTATAGTAGGAGCTGCTTTATATTATACGTTGTAATTAGGTACTATACTAGCGATATATAGTCCGCTACTAGTAGCACCGCACTCTGCGCTAGCTACTTAACTGCCTTAGGTTATAGTTCCTTTATTCTGCGCAGCGCTAGCGCTACTTTTATCGCCTTGCCTGCTTTATCTATAAAATATACCTTAAATTTTAGTTTCTTATCTAGTATTATACCTAGGAGCTTAACTTTATTTATAGGTATAATATTCTGTTCTTTAAACTATAGCGGTGTTATACTATTCCTACCTGCTGCTTTATATCGCGTAAAATAGATAAAGCTTATCTTAGCAGCTTTAAACTAAGCCCTGCTTATACGCTTCTACTTTTCTAATATTAGAACTACTTTATTCTAAATAACCTATATATTCTCCTCTGCTAATAGCTTTATAACCTATACTAAGTAGTTATCTATAAACGCTATTAAGCTACTATATTATAGTACGCTCTGCACTAAATCTATATTAAAAAATAGGAATAGGATTAAAGTAAGTGCTAATCCTTAGAGAAAACCTGCCTGCGGAAGCTTTTATACCTCTATTATTATACTATTAATAAAAATGCACGCCTTTTAGTTTATATAAAAGTCCTGCACCTACTATATAATTTTTTCTAAAATCTATTACTACTGCAGTTTTCTAATTTCTGGCTTAGTAGCTATATTATTATACGCTTTCTTAATATTAAATAATACTAGTAATAGTGTCTTTTTTCTATACTATACCTTAAATATATTCTTATAGAGGTATAACAGCGTATATATTATCGCCCTCTACTTCTATACGCTAAAGTACGTTTTTAGGAGAAGGCTATATTCCTCTACTAGGTATACTATCCTTTCGGCTACTAATAACTTAAGCGTTTTACCTAGCGTCGGCAATAGTAAAATCGGCCGGTAGTTATTAGCTATTATATAGTCCTTTCTCTTCGGCTTCTGCAGTAGTATAATTTTTGCGATTTTCTACTTTTTTAGCACTTTTCCTATTTTAAGCAATCTTATAAACAGCTGCATAATTTTATTACCTAGAACCGGCTATAGCTCTCTCTATACTTTTACTAGTAGGCCGTTCTTTCCTAGCGCTTTATCTAGGCTCGCCCTAAAAACGGCTGCTTTTACCTTATATTTAGTAATCGGCTTATAGTATAGTTAATTATACGTTGCTAGCGCCTTCTCCTGCTTATATAGTATTAGGCTTAGGAAAAACGCCTAAAGCAGCTCCTATCTAATCTTATTATCTTCTATAGCAATTCCTTTTTTTTAGCTAGTTTTCTTAATTAGTAGCACTTTAGTAAATAAGCTGCTTACCTATAAATCTAGGTATTTAGCCGCCTTTTATATATTATTGCTATTATTAAAAAAAGCTTTCTAGTGCTATTTCCGGTAGCAATAGATTATCCGGTAGAACAGCCGTTTTACTTTTATTACTATACTGCGCAGCTTTATATCCTTTTTTCCCTGCCGCTATATTATATATACTCGGTTTTTCTAGTATATATATAACTTTCTTAGCGCTATAAGGTTTTTATCCCACCACCGCTTTATATATAGCAACGGCCGCGCTTTTAGGTAGTATACCTCCACCGCTCTAGTTACCTACTACGTAAGCCGGATTGCTATTTTATTAATATTTTCTACAGGAAAGCCTGCTTTTTTCTTTTACTTAACCGTTTATCTAATCTTATTCTATAGCGCGTTCTTAAATAGCAGTTTTTTCTAACCTTTTTTCTTTTCTATATTAATACAGAAGCGCGTTTATATAGCCTAGTAGTTTAACTTATACTTATACTTCTAGATTAAGCACTTAACTAAGTTTTCTACTAGTCTAGGCGTTGTAAGTATTAGGTTAATTATTAATAAGCGTCCTGCGTTACTAATAAATATACTTACGCCTGCTAGTAAAAGGCTTTATAGTAACAGCTCCGCTATAAAGTTAATAATCGGCGCGCTTTTCTTTTAGCTTACTATACTATTAATATAGCTTTCTCCCTACAGCGGATTATATCGGTTAAAGTTCCTAGTAACTACTACCTTAATATGCGGGTTGCGCAGTTTTTTTTATTATACTAACTTATTAATTATATATAGCCTGCTGCTAAGCTCCTCTATATTCTCCTCTCTAGTTCTTATTAATAAGAATAGGTCCGGAATATATACTAATACTATAACTAGCTTTCTTCCGCCTATATATACTACTATAGCTATAATATCCGCTAAGTCTATATATAGCTATATAGCTTTTACTTTTCTAAATACTTAAATACACGTTTGGACTAGATATTATCCTTCTTGCCTACTATATAGTATATATATTATCTAGCGTGGATTTATACTATATAGTACTACTTCTCCCTCTATAAAAAAGTATCCAGGTTCCTATTCTAGAATAAATTGAAAGTTAGTAAGTGCCGCGTTGTTATAGAGCGCGTGCTGCGCTTCCCTGCCTCTTCTTATATTTGCCTGCAGGATCCGGAACTCCCTATTTATAGCGCTGCCGCGTAAGAATCCTGTTTATTTCTTTCCTGTACGCTGGGTATTATTAGAGCAACGCCCGATACAGGCCTTAATAGTTAACGCAGCGCAGGTTAACTGTCTTATATTGCAGATAGCCTTCCTGCCCGTATATATCGCACGTCTCCGGCCGTATATAGTTGCGTGCTCTATGTCCGAACCGCCTACACTTAAAGCAGGCCACCGGCGTGCACCGCTCCTTAAACGGCGATACTATAATACCGCCTCCGCCAAATATCACGCTGTCCGACTTTAGCAGCTTCTCCGCCTCCTTCTTTATCGCCACCTTAATCACCACCAACGCATGCTGTCCGCTGGGTCTTAGTCGCCCGAGCTATTGCATTATGCACACCTCTACTCTATTCTCCGTGCTAAATTATTCTATTGCTAACCTGCTTACTTTGCCGCTCTCCGCGTCTATTGCTAGTGCCACCTTAATCCAGTCTGCCTTCACTAGGTACTACTTAGGCCCTACCAGCCTTGCGCCTGGTAAAGCTGGCTCGAGCCAGTCTGCTATTATCTATTAGACTGCTGCCTTTTTATCCTTATCTACCGAGAACTTAATTACCCTTGTGCCTTTGTTTCCTCGCCACACGCGGAACCCCTTAACCGTGGTTCCCGCGAGTCTTTCGACCCTATTCATGCCTTGCTGGATGGCTTGCTTGGCCGCCTCTGTAGTAGCTACCTTCTCTGCTGTGTTATCTCTTACCCGGCTTATATTAATTACTAACTGTCTTACATTCTCTTTGTCTATTAAGCCTGTGCTTATTAATCGCAAAAGTATTGTGCCTGCTCTCGCTGGTTGTCCGCTGGCTGCGACCGACGCCCATGTCTGCGTTGACGGCGGTTCGATCGAAAGGGTGTCGAGCTGCGCTCGAAGAGAGCCGATGGTTTCTTGGAGCTCTACAATCTAGTCTTTAAGATGCTGCTGCTCTGCCTGGAATATTGCGCGGTTGCTTTAAATGTCCTCGATGATCTTGTTCTGGTTCCCGATGATGTTGTTCTGCTGTGCTATTGTCTCTTTTAGGCTCGCGATAAGTTCTGCCAGCTCCCCTATCCCGGCGCTGGCTCCCTCAGGAGCTCGTTCGGAGGAGATCGACACGTGTCTGGTAGGAAATGGCGGTAGTTCATAGTGCGCTGGGTGTTGCTGCGTGCTATTTGGTTCATCGTTCTGCGGTAGCGGCAATGCCGTGGCTCTGCCCTCTATCTGTATAGGTCGACCCGGTACTGCTCTCGTTGTTGGGAGCTGCTGCAGGGCGTCAAGCGCCTTTACTGTTCGCTTCCTGGTACGTTTGGCTGGCGCAGGAGGTGGTGTCGACGGGTCGTAGTCGGAGTCTGACGGCGCCATCGGGGCTCCGGCACGACGTTCGGTGGTCCGCACGGACCGCCTTGCAGCGGGAACTAGCTAAGCGAGCGACCGCGGTTCGAGTAAAAGAATGTCCGAGATGAATATCCTCCTCTTCAACAATTCGAAAGTTTTCGCATCCCTTGAGCTGACTCAAGGGTGTGGCATGAGCGGGTCGGCAACCTCCCTGCTAGCGCTACCTGTGTTTGAGCAATGCATTTGTGCTCGAAGCATCACGTGGCTAAGCTCACCCCACTCCGCGCTCAGCCGCAACTTGCACTGCCTGAATAGCAGGCTACCTCGCTTCCAAATTTGATTTAATGGTTTGTCTGGTGCTCCCGACGTGCTTGTTCGATTATTAACCACTGTGGTTAGGATATGATACTCCAGACTGACACGTAGGTCATTCCACTCCTGTATTTTGCTCACCTGTTCGCACCTGAGCCCAGACGAACCATATATTTCCACTTGTCGCCATCGTTAGAAGTCCATACGAGACAATGCGACTCTTGCGCTACAGCAACAGCGAAGAGCTTACGATTACAAACTTCGTTGACAATAATGCAATCCCTCCCTATGCTATACTTTCGCACAGATGGCTCGACGATACCGAGGAGCCCACCTTCGAAGACCTGACAAAAGGCGCTGGGCAGGAAAAGCTTGGATATAAGAAGCTCCGGTTTTGTATAGAACAAGCGAGACAGAATGGCCTACAATACTTTTGGGTGGATACCTGTTGTATCGACAAGGCAGATTCCTCTGAACTCTCGCAGGCTATCAACTCGATGTTTCGCTGGTACCGCGACGCGACGCGATGCTACGTGTATCTGTCCGATGTTTCGACGAGGAAGAGGAAAAGGAATGTGGGCTCAATAGACACTTGGGAATCAGAATTCCGGAAAAGTACGTGGTTCACTCGCGGCTGGACGCTCCAAGAGCTTCTTGCGCCGGCCTTGGTTGAATTTTTCTCCCAGGAAGGCAAGCGACTTGGTGACAAAAGTTCGCTAAAACAACAACTTCATGAGATAACGGGTGTTCCCACGTCGGCACTTCAAGGATCCCATTTGTCGCAGTTTAGCGTCAATGAGCGGTTCTCATGGATAGAACGCCGCGAGACCAAGGTCGGAGAAGATAAAGCGTACTCACTACTCGGCATCTTCGACGTCCGCATAACTCTTCGCTATGGCGAAGGGATGGCGAGTGCGTTTAAACGACTTGAGGAAGAGATCGACAAGCTGGGGAAATGTGTCCAAGATTTACGCCTCACCGATCCCCGCCATGACAAGAAGCGCATTGAGGAAACCAAGGGTGGCCTACTGAAGGACTCGTACAATTGGATCTTCAAACACTCCGACTTTCAACAATGGCGCAACGACCATGAGAGTCGATTGTTATGGATCAAGGGCGATCCCGGCAAGGGCAAGACCATGTTGCTCTGCGGCATCATCGACGAGCTGAAGAAGTCAGATATTACAACGAATCTAGCCTACTTCTTTCTTCAGGCTACTGACTCTCGAATCAACAACGCCACAGCCGTACTGCGAGGCCTGATCTACTTACTCGTCGACCAGCAGCCTTCGCTCATCTCGCATATTCGGAAGGAGTACGATCACGCTGGAAAAAGCTTATTCGAGGATGCAAACACCTGGACTGCCTTGGTTGAGATCATCACAAATATCTTACGAGACCCGAACCTGCATAACACCTACTTGATTATCGATGCGCTCGACGAATGCGTAACAGACTTGCAGAAACTGTTGGACTTTCTCATCCATACTTCTTCAGTATCTACTCGTGTCAAGTTGATCGTCTCTAGCCGCAACTGGCCCAACATTAAGGAACGGCTAGAGACGGCAGGACATAAGGTGGAGCTATGTCTCGAGTTGAACGCAGATTCAGTTTCTACGGCTGTTAGTATTTACATCAAGCACAAGACACAACAACTAGCAGAGCTAAAGAAGTACGACGAGCGCACTCGAGCGGCCGTACTACAACATCTGACCTCCAACGGGAACGATACCTTCCTTTGGGTGGCTTTGGTCTGCCAGAATCTTGCGAAGATACCACGATGGAAGGCTCTTGCGAAACTGGATGCGTTTCCACCTAGCCTTGATTCTCTTTACGAGCGTATGATGGAGCAGATATCTAGTTCAGAGGACGCGGACCTCTGCAAGCAGATACTCGCGTCAACCGCGGTCGTATACCGACCTATCACGCTGGAAGAACTGACATCTCTTGTTGAGGTGCTTGAGGATACGTCTAATGACCCAGAGTCGTTGCGGGATATCGTTGGCCTTTGTGGTTCGCTTCTCACTATTCGAGAAGGGATTATCTACTTTGTGCATCAGTCCGCAAAGGACTATTTACTCGCAAATGCAGTCCATTATCTCTTTCCGTCTGGAATAGGAGAGGCTCATCACGTCATCTTCTCGAGATCACTCCAGGTCATGTCTGGGACGCTACGACGAGACATGTACGACTTATATGCACCTGGATTCCCTATCGAGCGGGTCAAAACGCCAGATCCAGATCCATTGGTGACATCACGCTACTCATGCGTGTACTGGGTGGACCACATCTGTGACTGGAGTTCCAACCCCTGTCCCGATCACGGTGCCGACCTGCAGGATGGAGGCGCTGTCGATGAGTTTTTGAGAAAGAAGTACCTTTACTGGTTGGAAGCTCTCAGCCTTTGCAGAAACATGGCTGGTGGAATCGTTTCGATGGGGAAACTCGAGGCTCTAATTCAGGTAATCCCTAGTAGCGCTGTCCATCTCAAATCGTACTGACACAATCTAGGGAAGAGGAGGTGCATCCTCATTATTCGATTTAGTTCATGATATGCGCCGATTTATTATGTACCACAAGTGGTCAATAGAGACTAGTCCTCTTCAGGCATATATGTCTGCACTCTTGTTTAGTCCAGCCCGCAGTTTGACAAGAGTTCTTTTCAAAGACGAAGAGCCGAAGACGATTGCGATAAAGCCAGTGATGAGCGATGAGTGGAGCGCTTGCCTGCAGACGCTCGAGGGCCACAGCGGCTGGGTCATGTCCGTGGCCTTCTCTCCCGACTCGGTCCGCCTCGCTTCGGCATCGGACGACAATACGGTCAAGATCTGGGATGCCGGCAGCGGCGAGTGCCTGCAGACGCTCGCGGGCCACAGCGATTTGGTCAGGTCCGTGGCCTTCTCTCCCGACTCGGTCCGCCTCGCTTCGGCGTCGTACGACAGCACGGTTAAGATCTGGCATGCCGGCAGCGGTGAGTGCCTGCAGACGCTCGCGGGCCACAGCGATGAGGTCACGTCCGTGGCCTTCTCTCCCGACTTGGTCCGCCTCGCTTCGGCGTCGGACGACACGACGGTCAAGATCTGGCATGCCGGCAGCGGCGAGTGTCTGCAGACGCTTGAGGGCCACAGCGGTCCGGTTATGTCCGTGGCCTTCTCTCCCGACTCCGTCCGCCTCGCGTCGGCGTCGTTCGACAATACGGTCAAGATCCGGGATGCCAGCAGCGGCGAGTGCCTGCAGACGCTCGAAGGCCACAGCGGCTGGGTCATGTCCGTGGCCTTCTCTCCCGACTTGGGCCGGCTCGCGTCGGCGTCGTGCGACAAGACGGTCAAAATCTGGGACGCCAGCAGCGGCGAGTGCCTACAGACGCTCTGTATTGGCATAGTACTCTTCAACATATCTTTCGATTCTGAGAGCATGGATCTTCACACCAACATTGGTACAATTGCTTTCAATAGAGCTCCTCATGTGAAACTAAGTGCGACGGATTCCCAAAGTCCTCCATGTCAACGCGGGGCTTTGATTTCAGATGGAGCATGGATAACCTACGATTTAGAGAACTTGGTATGGCTGCCCTCGGAGTATCGGCCATCATGTTCAGCAGTATCTGGAAAGACGATTGGTATTGGAGTTGGATCTGGAAGGGTATTGATATGTAACGTTGAGGTTGATAAATTGGAAGGGGTTCAGTAGTATTTGTGGAGGCATTCAATCATTTCTTTACTATCTCTTTTTCTTTTTTTCTCTATTTCATAGAGGGTCCTGGGCAGAGCATAAACATATACCTGAAATATTTGCCACTCTATAGTCGAAGCTTCTAGAAGCGACTGGATCTATAGTAGCAAGAGTAGTGTGGAAATTCAACTACGTACGCTAGTAGGGAGGTTGCCGACCCGCTCATGCCACACCCTTGTTAGCTCAAGCTGTGGTAGAGAAGTACCTTCTTGTACCGTGGCAAATCACGTGCTTGGGCTAATGATGCCTGACACAAGGTGGGTACCAAGGCCCCGATCAGCCACACTCAGCCACAAGCTTGGCTTACTGGATAACATAAGTAAATTACGTTGTGATGATTATGTAAGACGGGCGGAGGCATTTGTACTAGCCAGAGCCGGTAAGTGCTTTGATCAAAAGTACCGACCAGGGCGGCGACCTTGCATGAATTTGCGTGCGACAGCAGCCACAAGGCTGATGCCGATTTCTCAATATGGTAGTGAGGTTCTAAAGTTCGAATAAGGCCCTTTTATGAGCATCAGGAGTGATGGGAGCTTGATAGTGGTGCTGTGGCGACGGAACTCGGTTACGCCATGAAAGAAGGCTATCCGCAAATCAGGCGCGAAGGCGACGATGCAAACGTAATTTTTCCGTGCAAGAGGTTCCAAGGGCTATAGGATGGCTACAGCACACAACTTAGATAGAATTATGGGATATATCGATGTGTGCAAAAAGCTTGAGTTGTTTGAAGTCAATGTAAGGTGCGTCCCTATTGTCACGGTCTCGGGCGGCAGGATTGCCCTAGCTAGCTCGGGCAGGTAGGTAGAAGTAATAACTGAATTCACTACGTGTTCTATAATGCACGGCAGGCAGGCGGGTTGAATAACAAGACGTAGCTCAAGGAGCTACAAGGAGGCAGGGCGGCGGTCGGCAGGTATACTCCTGCCAAGGCTCGCATAGGCCCTTGCAACAAGGCCTCTCGCCGGGTCCTAACATCACGTGTTACGCTGTGCAGCAAGCTTCACCGTTCAAGCCGTGACATCTACGATATAATAGAATTACAGAGACACATCACTCCAAACTATTGCCTAGCCATTGAAATGAGCTAAATACTATATGCATTCATATAATCTTATTTAATACTTTATGGTTGTTGAGATTGCTGGGGTGTCAAAACGTCCAAATCGCACCAAAAATTAAGCGCCACCACTCGCTTGTAACCACCACATGCATGTAGAACACGTTAGATCGTCTCGCTTAGACTAGGAGGTACCGATTGGCGTGGCGACATTGCATAAATCATCCTCCTTTAGTCGCCATATGGCTGGTATATGGCTGGTGACAATAACGCCAAGCCAAAGGCCAACTTGGGCACACTTCACCAGGATTCCGCGCTGAAACTGGCTCTGATGCCTTGTACTTGAGGCATGTTCACAGCCTTGGTTGTATGAAATCAAAGTGGCGTTAGCATGCCGAGGTACGCTAAAACATCACGCTAAGGCGGAAGAAGGTTGAGACCCCTCTCTCCGCTCGGCGAAACTCCCGGAATCTACGACCATTGTGCAAAGCGACTTCTCAGGGCTTACCAACCTTAGGATTACGCTAATAGGTCATTCGCACAGGTTGTCCAAGTGCATTCATATGTAACAAGAACTCGACGACGGCGTTCTCTTCGTACGGGGTGAGGTACTGTTGGCTTCGGGCTTTGGCTTCTCTCGAGCGTCGTCCGCGGGCACGATGATGGAGGGTAGAGAGGGGGACATCGCCATGTGCAGCTAGGGAAGCATATATGTTCGGCATGCCTTCTGGAAGGCCTTCGGCAAGTACTCGACTCGCTCTATCTATGTTAGCTGACTGTTGGGAAGGGGTGCAGCTCAGCAAGTGCGAGCGCCAGTGCAAGGCAGCAGCAAGCAGCAATGGGGTGGTGGACGATGAATCCGAACTTATGGCTGCTTAGAATAGAACATGCAAACAGGACAAACACATATTGGGTGCGCCACACTTCACGTCAGTAGATCCAGATTTTAATACCGTAAGATACAGACGCTAAGCTGACAGCTCCGCGGCTGTGCGAAGCCGGTCACATACAGGCGCCCGGAAAAAATATACCAATTGGTAACTGCTTCATTTATTCCTACAAAACCTACGCAACTCCTGTTGGAAAATCTCAGTTCCTTGGGCGCGGCACTTGTGCTTTAATACCGTACTAATACATCCGCGCCACTGGGGCCCTCCATGGCTCTGTCACCTGCGCCCTCCGTGGATCTATCATCACTAGGTCCCTGTATAGCTCTGGCGCTTCGCTCGTCCGCATCTCTGGCGCATCGCTCATCTGCATCTCTGGCGCTTCGCTCACCTCTGGCGCTTCGCTCATCTGCACCTCTGGCGAACTCGTATCTGGCGCAAGATTCTTGCGCGGACGACCGCGTTTTCCCTTGCCCGCCGTAGCTTTCTCGCCTTTCGCAGCTTTCTCTTCTTTCGCAGCAGCACGCTTCGCTCGTGCCTCCATAGCTTTCTCTTTCGCAGCAGCACGCTTTGCTCGTGCCTCACTAAGGTCCTCATAGCTCATCACCTTCGCCTTCCCTAGGATCAATGACTTGGTCGATCGGCGAACTTTGGCTTCGCCATTTATCTTAGCCAAGAGTCGATTTTGATCCCGAAGCAGGGCGTTTTCCGCAAAGGATATTCTGGCGGCACTTGCGAGCTTCTGTACGTGTCTCTCCAGGCGCTGTTTACTAACCTCATCAAACGTATGAGCATCCTACTTGATCAACTTGTGTAATAGTGTAAGACCCTCTGCTGTCACTGGCGTTATAGGCGTTTGCGGTACTTCGTCTTGCGACCTCACCACCTCATTAGCATTTGGAACGGAAACGGTAAGCTGAGCCGGGGGCCTCGGTGTATGTCTGAGTACTCTCTCTGGGTTGAATGGAAATAAACCAGTTGCGGCCCACCCGGCTAGGATGTTCCTCTTAGTCAATGCCCTTTCCCTTGCAGGGCTGTATAGAGATGTGAAATGCTCCTTGCTAACTACATCTACACCTCCTCGATATAGTAGTTCAACCTGGTCGCGATAGGCTGCCTTCAAGGGTGCGAAAACTCCAACGTCACAGGGCTGGAGCTTGTGAGACTAGGTGGTAGTACACATTAGCAGGTATTTACGAACAGGGGTGAAGATGCCCAGGACTTTGCGCTGGCTAGGACGCCAGGGGTGAGAAGGGCGTGGGGATGGTGAAGGTGAGAGGGCTTGAAGGAGGGGTATGACAGATACTAGATCCTCGCTGTGCAATCGCGACTTAGACCGGCGGTCTTGAATCCACAAGTTGAGTGGTCTTTCAGGAAATCTGGCATCGGAGTGTATGTGTATTACAACCTTACTTACCGTGTAAGAGGGGAGACGGCATAGGATAATGTTGTTTTCAAAGCAAAACTCTAAGACCTCGAGCGTCTCGTGTGTCCCGAAGCCATCCATTATTAGAATCACTCAGGTTGCAGCACTACAACCTAGGATCAACAACTCATATGCCAGAAAGCTACTCTCCGAACATCAGCTGTAGAGAACCCAGCTGAAATCTCAGCTGTAGAGAACCGAGCTGAAGCCTCAGCTGTGCAGGGCTCATCTGAACTTACTAGCGCGCCACCCTGGGGGTGGCCCCCTTCCTTCCCCTAGTATATATACAACTAGCTAGACGTCTATAGAAATCAGAGTTCACATCAATTTAACCTGAGTGAATCCGTGGTTTCTGGTTGGCCCGTTCTTTGGTTTGGGGATCAAACACACGCGTAAGCCACTCCAAGCTAATCTTGGAGTCGTTGTATCCATTTTCAGAATGCCCATAATGCCATCCGGGGGTTGGGTATGTGGTCCAGTTGCTTCGGTGGGTTGAAGCTGGCCAGATTATGAGGGGGAGCAGCCGCCTGCCGTCAGCACTGATGCACTCAACAGCAGTCACCATTGTCCGCTTAACACCCGCGCCTCTATGGTCTCGCAGGTCATCCTTACCTACGAGGACTTTGATAGAACCGAGCATGCTCAGCAAGACTCCGGTCTCATCCATATTATAGGCATTTTCGGGCAGAATAGCCAAATCCTGATCCTGTAGCACCTTTCCGATCAATTTAAACCACTCTACAATCTTATTATATATGTTATTCCCATGTCGTTTCCAGTCAATCGCCCTGACGGTTTTAGCTTTAAGTTCTGGATGGCGTTTCTCAAAGCCCCGAGCCCAGTTCTTGCCTGGAGGCTTGATTGGTTTATTCGTTGATCGGTTGCGGGCGACACAAAAGGCTAGCAAAGGTATAAACTTTATGCGCACTGGCTGCCCGAGATTAGACATTAGTAATAAGAATTTAATGACAGCTTTCTCTTCATCTGGGGTCAGGTATTGCTGGCTTTGGGCCTTTTCCTCTATTGAGCGTCGTCCCTTGTCACAATAATGGAGCGTAGAGAGAGGAACATCGCCCCGTTCTGCAAGAGTAGCGTATGTCCTACAAGGGGGCTACCTGAGCGGGCTGCCTGCGCTCCCTGCTAGCGCTGGCGTTGTTTTAGCCACAGTAAGCGTATTATAAATCTGCAGAAGCCACCAGAATAGCTAGATAATATAAAACAACGGCAGGGGCCCTTGTATTTTATATCATAAAAATGCCGAATCTTGTACGCCGGAACAATGGCCACCATCCACGGCCAATTCAATATCCTATTCTTCGAGATCCGGGCACCCGTCTCTCCTACCGAGAGCGTGATATTGCTTTCTCCCTCTCTCGATACGCTGGCTGGAATAACCGAAGGATCGGTTCCTCTCTTGGTGTGCCTTACAGAACTATATCCAATGCTCTCTCTCTCCAGAATCCGTGGACCCCTCAAAAACAGAGAGGGAGAAAACCGAATCTTGATACTCCAACTCGACAGCGCCTTATTGCCCGGGCTAAGCTTGATCGTATCCACCGAAGGAAGCCGTTAGAGGAGATTGCAATGCTAGAGGGGGTCTCTGCCTGCAAGCGATCCCTATATAAGGCATTTGAAAAAGAGGGCTATTTCCGGCGTGTTGCAACAGAGAAGCCCCTTATCACGCCTGAGCAGCGAGAGGCCCGTCTTAAATGGGCCTATTCTCATCTGGAATGGACTCCCGAGATGTGGGCAGCAGTAATTTGGACCGATGAAGCGTCCATTCGAACCGGAGGAGGCCAGATCTTTGTTACTAGGCGTGCTGAGGAGAAATACGATATT